CCCTGTGTTGGCTCCACAGGGAGAGGGAGGGTCGTCTCCATCCCCTCAGGCACTGGTTTTCTTGCAGTCCTACAGAATTTGCAGGGAAAATACCTTTTTTTTTAAGTCTGCGACCACCTTAGCCGACGCAACTGAAACTAGTTCTGATGTGTCCCAGTGTCTCCATCTCCAGCGTTCCTGCGACCCGCAGGCCCAGAGCAACAGCTGCACAGACAAAGACCCGCAGTGTGGCTATGGTGGGAAGAAGGCTAAGGAGGCAGGCAGGGAAGATGGGGTTGGAGGGTCGCAGTCTGAGCGAAGGGAAAGGAGGGATGTGCTTATGGCAGTTCCTGCCACCCGGATGCAGAGGAGGCTGGCTGGGGAGGGGGGGGGGACGGGCAGGAAAAGGAGGGTCTGGACACAGCGGGATCTGATCAGAAGCGAAATCTCCTCTTGGTAACCGCAGAGCTGAGTAGGTGACTCTGCACCCCAGGCCTCCTGGGTCTGGTCCTGGGATATGTAAATCCAGGCAGGAGGGAGAGCTGGGCCAGGGCATGGCAGGGAACCCAGAAACCAGCCTGGATCAGCCTCGTTCCCCTCAGGAAACCCCACCCCAGCCCAGCCCACCTCGCACAACCAGTTCCAACAGCTGAGACTGCAGAACGGAAGACCCCATTTCTCTGCGAAAGGGGGCTAGCCGCCTCCCTGGCCCTGCGCTCAGGCAGGTAGGTGGAGGGAGATACGCACATGCCCAGCTCAGGGTGGGTCACCGGCCACTGTGAGTGACCTGGATAAGCACTGGAAAAATTACACGGCAAGAGCAGCTGCTTGCAATCCTGGCTACTGTGCCGCGACCGCCCCACTAAGACATGAACATGCTGCACCTGCCCAGCCTCAAAAGCTTTTAAGAGGAAATAGCAACCTCAGCACCCAGGCACCACGTTCTTTAGCAATCAGCAGGTTCCTCTCTGGGGAGAAAGGCGGGGCTGTCTCCTCCTGTCCAGAGTTACAGCCTGGCAACCACAGGGGTCTCTCTGAGCAGCACTGACTCGATGGCAGCAGGTTTGGGTCCTCTGGCTGCCTGAATTCACGTGGCGCTGCCCCTGAGCCCAGGGCCCCTGTGACTGCTGGCATAGCCAGTGTGAGGAAGGCAAGGGCAGCTGAGCCTGAGAGACCTGGTGCCCAGCTGGGGGCAATATTTATCCACTTGGTTGGACAGTCAAGCTCTGAAGTCAACCCACAACTAGGTCCAATGGGCTCTTTGTGGGCTCGACCCGAATTCTGATGGGCATGGAGATCCAGGGCGCATGCTAGGTCTCTTATATCTGGTACTGAGGTGGGCAAATACCCAAACATTTCCCAAAGGCTCCACTTTCCTTTCTTCTAAGGCTTTGGCCACCAGGAATGACCCACCAAATGTGGATCTCCCTGCTCCTTCTGTGTCCTCCCAACGGTGAACTCAACTCCAAACAGCCCACTCACTGCCCGG